CCAGGGACCCCTGTGTTGAATTAGGGAAAGGCTGGAAGAAGCTAAGGAGGAGGTTGACCCCATAGGAAGACCAGCAGTCTCAACTAACTCAGATCCCTGAGGTCTCTCTGACACTGAGGCACCAACCAGGCAGCATATTCTAGCTGGCCCAAGGCCCCTGACACATATACAGCAGAAGACTGCCTGGTCTGGCCTCAGTGAGAGAAGATGCACCTAACCCTTGAGAGACTTGAGGCCACAGGGAGTGGGGAGGTCTGGTGGGGTGTGTGTGTGGGGGGAGGGGGGAAGTGGACATCCTCTTGGAGATGAGGAAGGAGGAATGGGATGAGGAATTGTTGGAGGGCAGAACAGGAGGAGGATAACGACTGGACTGTAAAAAAAAAGATTAAAGATTTAAAAAAACAAAACATGAAAAGGAGCTGGAAAGAGAAAAAGCCACAGCAGAGCATGCACACAAGGACTCACTGTCTTTTGAACACAGGAGGGAAGCTGTTATGGACTCACCACTCCAGTTACAACAGTATACACAAAACCCATGCAAGCTCAAGTTAAACGGGATCTCAGCGTAAACAAGGGAGTTGGGCACACATTCCCACGCCCAGCTGTTAGCTCCTGGGAGAGGAAGAGATGACTTTCTCTGAGAATGTAGTCCCTGGAAAGTTGACCAGACTCCAATGGAAGACCCTACAACCAAGAATATTTGGACAGCAAGAATTGGACTTGAAAGATTATTTTTTTAAAGACATAAAGTTGGATGAATACAGAAGGGAGTTGGATTTGGGAATGGCTCAAGAAGAGATTGTAAACAGGCTCAAAACATATAAAAGCATTCAAAAAACTAATAAAATAAAATGAGTCCCCCTGTCAGTTGTCCAATGTAGAGTGGTCAGCCTTGAAACTATATGCAGAAAACAACAAAAACAGATGCAGCAGGTTCTATTTGTATACATTTATGTACACACATACACACACACAAACACACACACACAAACACACAATGAATATAATCAAAGCAAAACAGGCTATCAGCTTGAGAGTGGGATGGTACAGAAGGGTCTAAGGGAAAGGAGGAGGGGCTTAGGAAAAGGAAAAGGGTAAAATGATCTAATTCTATTAAATAAAATTTAAAAGCAAGAAATATAAAAAATAAAAATTATTGAGGTATTTTATGCCTTTACTAGAATGTTAGAAAAGAAAAAGGATTAATTAAAAAAACAACCCATTGATCTAAAGTGCAAGTTAGAGTTTTAGAAATGCCACATGAAATATCCTAGTAGGCATTCCAAGTCTTTGTCTCTAAGGCTCCTTAAAACACAGTAATTTGTCTATGACTTCCTCTGAATGGCATAGGTCCTGACTTGCCTGGTAATCGAGCTTAATTAAACAAGCTCTTGAAATCTAAATAGCTTTGAGTCTGTTATATCCTATCCCACAAATATTTGGTGGTGTCCACTCAGTGCAAATCATTTTGACCTAGCTCATTAGAGAGAAAATGCAGACCCCAGAGGTCGGAGTCTAATCAGTGAACATTTTTCAAAGAGGAGATCATGGCATAGAAAAATGACTTTAGTGTTTCTAATGGTTATCAAGACCCTAGTGCATCCCAGCAGATATGACAAGAAAAACAAACAAGCAAACAAACAGCCAGCCAGATAAAACCCTTAGAAGCAAAGATTCCTCCTTGGCCCCTAAAAGTCACCTCTAATGACCATCAACTGACCTTAACTATTGTTTAAAAAGTAGATTTTTGGCTTTCTATGTGGGAGAAGCATAGCCAAAGAATGAAATAATTGATAATAATACAAAACAAGCTAGGCCGGTTTAGAAGGGAACATTGATTCAATTCTTATAAGCCTCCCCATGAAACCTCAGTTAGGGACATTGACATCCCAGATACTGTAATCTACAAACACCCCAGCTATAATCAGATTAAAGATCTCTTCCGCTTTCTCTAAGTATAAACAATACTTTCTGCATCCGGAAGCCAAGAGATATCCATCCCTGGTCACTAAGTTCCTCTATTCTGGTCTCTTCTCTCCCTTTCAGTCACCAGGTAATAGTCCAACACTGGCCATTAAAATTATTCTTCAATTTGGCCTCCTGAAATTTCTTCAAAGTGATAATGCATTTCTTTAGTTTATCAGACCACACACCCTGCCGCTAAACATCTGGGAACTAGATGTTATCTTCCTTATCCTTGGAGACCTTGGTCCACTGGGAAGGTCGAATGTGCTAATCATATCCATTGGAAATGATTGCCAGCAGATACAGCTGAACTAGATGATAATACTTGTCCTTAGCAAATATCCCTCCTTAGAGTTTGGGTATGCTTTCATATAGATCTCAGCCTAAGTTCTTTTGCTGCTGAGTAGATCATGAGACTAGGAAAATGGTGGACATCTCCTAAGAACACCAATGGCTCTGCACCCTTAGTTACTCCTAAGATGGATTAGTAAAATACTCTAGGATTTCCTTGAGTAGAAGTGACAGGTTAAAAACTCTAGATCATCCTGCAAATACACTTATGTTACAGCCTCTCCAGATGTAGAATGTTTTCCCTTTATATTATTATCTAGTCTCCATTTTTATACCATCTACTTGACCAAAGAACATCATTTGGCATATTGAAATTCTTAATAAATATACTGAGGGTGCTTTAAGTAGAACAGTGCAGGGAATGTCTGTTCTTCATTCTAAAGTCCAAAAGATAATTTTTTAAAAAGCAATTCTACAAAACCACATGAATTTGGATATCCTCACGGATGCTCAGGGGACACTTTTGCTAACATCAAGGTCTAAAGGGTCTGAATCATATCTCTGGCTTGAAGGGATTCAGAACTGCATGGATGTTCATTAATAAACAACTGTCTAAGCCTTGTAAGATTATCATCTGGCAAAAAGCTCTCTGACAAATTCCAAAGACAAACTCTTGTCACCTCCTTATAGATGAACACGAAAATACTCTTTAGGGAAACCTACTTGGTCTGGAGAATTTAGGATAATATAAATCCTATCTAACATGTAGGTTGTCTCTATTCTCCAATAGACTATCTTATGTAGTACAAAGAAAAACACACAATGGAAATAGCCAGTTAAATGCAGGCTTTGGACAGCCCACCCAATAGGCATTCCAATTTCCCTAGATATCAATGATATTCTAAAAGAAAAGGAAAAAAAATTAAGATCCATGATCTAATGTAACATGTGGACCTTATTTAGATAGTGATTCAAACAGACTGGGACTAAAAAGACCGTTGTAAAAGCACATGAGAAATTTCAAGTATGGACTAAGTATTATAGGATTAACTGTAATAATATAATAAAGGTATGGGATTATTAAAATATTTCTCATATGTTAGAGATGCATACTTGACTTTAAAAGTGTATCTCTATATGCTTTAAAACACTCTGGGAACTAGATGATATCTTTCTTATTCTTGGAGGCCTTGGTCCTCTGGTAAGGTCGAGTGTGCTAATCATAGCCATTAAGCAGTATACACAAACACGTAGAACATTAGCACAATGATTATGCATGAACACATAGAACATTAGCACAAAGATATATATTCAGAGTGCATTGCAAGCCATTCATCAACATTCTCTCCTTTGCTTTTGGAAATTTATACAATAACATGCTAGGGACAAAATAATAAAATAAGGTGTCCCCAGCCTATTTGATCACCCATCTTTATTAAAACAATGTAAGGTTAGAGTGTTTAAGCTGAAAATTCTCTTTAGATTCTATACAACGTTTAATTAGTAATTTGACTTCTACCATTTTGATATTTAATTCTTTCACTGGCTATAAAGAAAGCTAAATGACCAACAAATGACCAAATTCTCTATTTAAATAACAAAATAAAAGGTCTATCAAAAATATAATGTTACTACTAACACTCACTGTAAAAGGGGAGGTAGATCTGCTCTCTATGTGAGGGTCAGCGTGTGGTTTCTGGTTGCTATTCATAGTGAAGATTGAATATATGCCAGGGAATATTTGTAAACATTCAAGTTCTTCATGGAATTTCTTATTATACTTGTCACAACTGCCTAATTCCCAGAGTTAAAGGGTAACAAAGGGTGGATTTAAAGTGGTTTCCTTATGTAAAATCAAGTTACTCGCTAATTGACAACATTATCTTTAGTTACTTATTAATAATATTATCGTTTAACTGGCAGTAAGGACCAGCAGAGATCTCTCTGGGAAAAGCAATAGGCAAAAGGACAAAATTAATTCATCTTGACATTCTCACTACACATGCTAGATCCAATATAAAGTGCTTGAGCACATGTGATCAAACTTCCAAAGTTCAGAGATAGTCTCTTAAGCAACATCTTAGCAGGGAGAAAAAAAATATGAATCTCATCCTAGACTTTCAAAATTCTCACAATGAATCATCCTTTTCAAAGCATTTAATCCTTTAAAAGGATTTTATTTACATTTTTTTCACAGAAAAAGCAAGAAGATGGCTCACATCCTGAAACTCTAATTTTACATCAATAAAATATTTTCAAAGAAATGCATGATTTTATAATCCATATTGGGCTTTAATCTCTTTGTTTGAAATAATTAAAAAAAAATTAAAGTGTAACATGTTTTCTTTCCAATGATAACATCTTATGAAAAGATAACCCAAAATCTATAGTTGTCACATCTTCTACCATAAGAAAGGAAAGATGACAGAAGGAAATTAGTCATATAAACAATGTCACAAAGGATAACCCCAGTATCTCAGTTATTTTTTTCCACTATGTATTCAATTAGGTGGGGAGGGATTATAGATTCAACAGCTGTTAAGACAATTATTTCTTCATGCAATAAAAAGCTTCAGAATAAAGAACCTGGTCTCTGGGTTGCAGTTACAAAGGTGATTTGTGTTGCCACGTTGGGCTCAGCCAAGGATGTAGAAGAAATATTTCTCATCTTCCATGTTTGAACATCTTGTTACAGGTGTTACTTCTTACCACCCATCCATGAGTCTGGTCCCCAAACACCTTACCTACTACAGCCTCTGTGAATTTCCCTTCTGTAGGAAGAGGAAAGTACTGGTTTGGAGACACGTTGCTGCCATATCCCAGGAGAAAACCTTCCAGCTTTACGTTTGGATTTGGACGCAGGAACTTCAAGAGGATGGAGTCGCTGGTGGTATTGATGTGCACTTTCAGGCTTGGCTTTTTACCTGATCATAAAAACATGGGTAAGTGCCTGATATTCCACCCCCTCCTCATACTACAACCACCACTGCTCAGCAACCTTTGTCTGCTGGAGGCATTACTCATACAACAAATGCTGTTTCTTTGGCTTCTTAGTATGCTTAGTATGACCAAAACATTGGCTCACATTAAAATCAAGGAAAATGTGCTTAATAATGCATAAATCAGACTAAAATAACAATCAAAATATTGAGAGGTCTAATTCTTGATAGTTTGTGACTGAAGGGGTAAGTTGGGAGGGGGAGTGTTAGGTGGAGGTAGGGGACTCATTTTTTCCGAAGTAGGCCAAAATATTCATTTTATATTCATTAATAAAATGTGGTGCAAGGTTCTGAGGTTTCTTACTGGTAAAATCTAACCAATGTACCTTAAAATATCTCAGCATCCTTGGGATGCTCTCCAGACCCTTACCCACAAGTTTTGGTAACAGAGCAGGATATGGAGGAAAAAAGATTTCTGGTACAGGACTTGTTAAGGTGCTGAAATGGGTGATGTTGCATGCAAAAACCCTTGAAAACCACAATAGGGTGTCAGATCCTCAGAAGTGGAGTTATGTGTGGTTGAGAACTAACATGCGTGTGCTGAGAAATAAACTCTAGTCCTCTACAAAGGTACAAAGTCCTCTCAGCCACTGAATCTGATCTCTCCAGACCACCATGTGTTCTTTAATCTACTGTTAATTTGTTTCTTTAAGGAGCCAAGCCTATTTAAATGGTGCTTCTTAGTAGAGGCCTCATTCATGATGTTATATAAAATATAGTCTAATACTTTTCTCAGGCGATTCAAATTTCTGGATTATAAAACATGTGTGCTTCAAAAGATTAAGGTCATGAGTTTTCTCTTCATTCTGCGAATATTTTTGCCCTTTTAGACGACTACCTTTACTGATTTAACAATTCACATCCTGTTTCTCATTTATTAAAGTCATATGTTGAATAAATACTAACCACCACATCAGTACAGCATGAGCCCCCACAATAGTAATGCCTAAGATCTTATTGTACCTCACCTCAAATTATCTGAATAATCTTGATCAATGTAGGATCAATGTGCTAGGCTTTGTGTGGGGAATGTTCTTCTGAGACCTTGCAAGTTAATGTTTTGTCCCAGGCTGGTGGATCAAGTCACTGAGGGTAGACCATGAGAACTTTGACTTCAGCTGTAGATTAATCCTTTGAATGATTTGTAATAGGGTAACATTAATAGGAAATGGTAAAAAACAGAAGGTGGGACCTGTGTGGAGGAACAATGTCACTAAGGGCATGTTCTAGAACATTCCATCCTATCACTGGCCCTACCCTGTCTCTCTGCTTCTTGGTAAACAATATTGCTCTACAATGTACATTCAGCACAGTGTTCTGCCCCACCACAAGCACAAGGCACCTAGGCCAGCTACAAATGCACTGAAACCTATCAAAGCATGAACCAAAGAAACTCTCCCTTCCTTTTAATATACTTCTTTTAGATATTTGTCACAGTGACAAGAAGCTAACTAACACAGGTACATAAAAGGATTGCATTAAGCCTTTGAAAGAAGAAAAGTATTTCCTTCAGGAGAGCCATGCTACTGGACTCACTTCTATCTCAGCAGTCAGGAGGATAAGTCCTGTGCATGTACATATTACTTTCAACTTCCCCCAAACAAAATGATTTTACAAACATTTTCATTCCTGGTTATTGAAAATCATAGACACTGAGTATGGTGGTTTGAATATGCTTGGCCCAGGGAGTGTCACTATTAGGAGGTGTGGCCTTGATGGAGTAGGTGTGTGTCATTGTAGGTGTTGGCTTAAGACCATCCTAGCTGCCTAAAGTTAGTCTCTTTATAGCAGCCTTCAGATGAAGATGTAGAACTCTCAGCTCCTCCTGCACCATGCCTGCCTGGATGCTACCACATTCCTGCCTTGATGATTATGGACTGAACCTCTGAACCTGTAATCCAGCCCCAAGTAAATGTATAAGATTTGCCTTGGTCATGGTGTCTGTTCACAGAACTAAAATCCTAACTCAGACACTGAGTGACTTATTGAAAATCAAAAGAAGTAGCTTCATAGTTAATTTAGTTTAGTTCTTCTAAATGATGGCAATGGCAACTGGATGCACTCATGGTGTCCATCACTTTGTCTGGTCAAAACTAAGTCTCAAGGTTCTTGCTTCCTGGATTAGCCCAGCCTTATTCTCACCAAGGCCACTGCTATTACTCAATGACATTAGGCATGGTCAAACCATGGACCTCATCTTGAAGGCTTTGGTTTGTCTTAATTTTACCAGGTTTTAATTAAATGATATACAATTTAGAAAAAAATAGATTTTGTCCAATTCAGTTTTCCCCTTTAATCAACATCCTTGCACTGGCCATAGTACTACTCCATTTTTTTTTCTCAATAGAACAGGTGACATGTAAGTTACAAATACATTTTCCTGCTTTAGATGGTTGTCAGTTCTCACAAAAAGTTAAAACACAGCAGTCTGTTGGCAGGATAATTAAAAAAAAAAACTTTTTAAGACCCATCCCATGGGCAAGGACCAATCCCTGACACTACTGTTTATACTAGTATTCAATGATACTTTATACTTCTGAACAATGCTCTAATATCTGGGACTCATATCTCTGTATCACACATTAATTTTAATCTTTAATGATAAATAATCTCTATTATGAATAATTATTGATTCTATCATGAATGTTGAACATTTAGACACTTAAATATAATTTGTCATTTACAAAGTTGGCACTCAAAAACTGTTTAATCAAGTTACCAAAAATTCATAATGCTTTATTTAGGTGAGTTTATGGTTTTTGAGTTGGTCTGGATTCATAGATATCTTTGACCACGTGTGGACAGAGGGATACTAGTTGGACACATTTGATGATTTAAATCTCATTCATGTAATAAAAATTATCTTTCAGCATTTAGTCATAGTTCCACTTCTGGCAAATATTGTAGATAAAACAGAAAATAGCACACTACTATACAACCTTAACCAAAATAATGCATAAATAAACAACAAATATATTACCCCAAAATGGTCAGGAGTACAGAGAAGAAAAGACTACAGGAAGAAAATTTTATTGCATGTGACAGTAAACAAAAATATATTTTAGGAAATCAATAATAGACTGCTTTGGAAAAGCTGCACATTGGCACAGTACATTCTTGGACCCATGACAGTGGTTTCGAATCCTCTATTTGCAACACCCAACAGTATCTCTAAATATTTCAAAGTATTGTGAAATTCTAAAAACAACTAAATAAAATGTCTTCCAAAGCAAAATTAAAATTAGCCCATTTTTAAATCTTAAAGGTAAATATATGCATTAAAAACATGGTGTGAGATTGACAAACTAGACAAAAGGAAGAGACAGCACTGTCAGCTCAAAGAACTCTGATTACCAGACCAACCAAAGGAGGGAGGCTGCCTGGCTGCTGCGGGCTGTGGACAGGTTCTAGTTTTGCAAAGAAACATCCTGGCCTGGGATAAAATTCAGTCACAGAAGGCGTACCAGAGTTGAAGCAACACCAAAACAAACAGTAACAACAAACCAAAGCACCACCAACAAAAACAGTATCATCAACACCACCAACAAAATTTGTACTTTGGTAAAAAGCAGCAAAGCCATTACAGCCATCCAGTCACAGACCTCAGAAAAAGAAATCAACATTAAAATACATTTGGCAAAATTCTTTTCACATCTAATCTCTCATAAAGACATCTTACACTTTCCAAGTATTATACAACATAGTAAAACTTGTTGATATCATGCTGGTCAAGATGATAAAATTCTTGAGACAAGAAGATCACTGATATTTGCTTTTCAGACATCTTAGCCGAAAACAAACTCTAAATTCAGGAAGAAACCCTGTTCCAAGGAAAGACGTCAGAAAATGATTGAAGCATATACCAGACAGCATCCTCTAGCTTCTGCATACCTATATATGTGTATACACATGGGTACTCCATGCACTCAAGCATGTACCACATACACATAAACATACACCCCATATACAGATATACAAACATACAGAGACAGTCATGCAGAGAGAGGGGGGAAGAAGGGGGATAGAGAGAGAGAGAGAAATAGAGAAGAGAAATTATAGATATCATACAATTAAGTGAGCATAGCTATGCATTGTCCTACTATGTGCAAGTCATAATTTACCATTTCTTGGTCAGTACCATTAATCAAAGGGAAATAAAAATTAAAACCACACTGATGTATAAGGGTTCACATTAAAGTAGCAGGAAGTTAATGATATATCAAGTACAATTTGGAGGCCTTTTACATTTTAATTGGGAGTGTTAGTTAGAGAAGAGTTGAAAAGTTACCAAAGAGCCAAGCAATTTCAACTCTAGCTATTGCACATAGGAGAGATGAAAACACATCTATGTAAAACATGTATGAGAACATTCAAAACAATCTTAAACTGGAAACAAACCCAAAACACATCAATGGCTGAGAGGATAAGCAAACTATGTATCATTCATACAATTGGATATGATTCAGTAATAAATTACTTACGTATGAAAAGGCAGGCTAAAGCTTTATTCTGGCATGCCACCTCATAGGATGGAAGAGAGCTTTCCTCCTTATACGGAAACCTTCTAATAGAAGGACATTCAAGCATGTTGCCATTACAACACTGGTAGAGTTAGCTTTAGTCATGTGTAGTATTATTTATCATTCAACACACACACACTAAATCAAGTTTTGTCAGAAAGCACTAACTTTCAAATGCACTCTATTAAAGCATTCCAGTGTATTACTAACACAGAATATTAGGGAGCTATCAAGACATGCCATCTTAGTATTTTTTATTAAGGACATATGTGACAGTATATTGAAAAACTTTCAAAAACATAATTGAGAGCTTAGATTGTATCCCAGTAAATTCTCATGCTAAGATATACCAACCATAATGTTAACTTAAGCCTTGACAATAATTTACCATTTGCCTTGGTTTTT